AGATGGCGCCACTTGCTTATTCTTGTCCAGGCTTTGTCTTGATTTGAACAGCTTTTGTCGTGTTCATTTGCGGTTTGCAGCTAAGATGATGGTTCGTAAAACCACGAAATAGTCCTGTGAAAATTTTGTAAATTAACGATGATTTTGTTGTTTGACTCGGAATTAGTATTTGTTTGGCGTGTTATTGGTGTCTTAATTATAGAAGCCCCAAACAGGCTTACATGTTGCTTTCTTTTGCACGTAGTGGAGCCGCCATTTGTGATTGTAGGAGTTTCGGTGAGTACATTTTGCAATTTTCAGTTATGTTTATGTTTTGTACATTGGATATTGTGCTTTGCTGTTGTTCATGCATTTGCTTACAACATTTTGTTTTCTATTCATTTCAGTGAGAGATTTTCTGCTATTTTGTGTGTACTTTATTATTGCTCAGTTAATTAGTTGATTTTCTGCATTGTTTATCATGCCTTCATCCGTAATCGTTTCACTAAATTACGCCTGACACGGCAAAAATTCCTGATATCTTGACTTTTTACTTAAATGAAATGTAAAATTGATCCCAATTTTATTCAATCAATCTAATCAAAAAACCTTCGAGTCGCGTGTCAAGAATTCTGTTAAATTGCAAACTTGCCTTACTTCGTCCGTGATAATGGATACATGTCAACAATTGTCCAAATTGAACATAACTCTATAGGCTTCATCTGGAACTCGCTAAACATATCCAAAATCCTGCCCTTGAACAAAAGCTTGGTCTAGAACGGAGAATGCAGTTAACCGTCATAAAAAACACCCTGCAGTTAAATTCGAAAAATTCTTTACAGTCTCCAGTTCAGTAGTTCAAAAAAATCTTCCCATTGTAAACATCAAGCCAATAGTTAATATTTCTAAGTTTCTTCAGAGAACCAAGAGAGAATTCTAAAATATTTTAACTTCTCACACAACCTGTAAACCCTCGATCCAAGATTTGGCTCCTAATCGAAAAAGCTTTCAGTCAGTAAAAGTTCAGATTCACAGAAAGAAATGATTAGGCATTTTATCGCTCATAATGTGAAATTCAATAAACCTTTGAAACCAAATCTAACTGCGAGAGAAAGAGCTACAATGCGCGAGATTCATTCTAACCCAAGATATTTATTTCAAAGGCCGACAATGTGGCCAGATAGTCGTCATGGATAAGAACACTTACATCGATGGTGTCACTAAACTCTTAAAACGAAGGACCATATAACGATCCCAAAGATCCTTCACCTTCGGACTTATCCAAAATAAAAAATGCGATCAAATCTTCGCAAATCATTTCAAGCAACTTAAAAACATTCGCTATCCCATCTGTTGCGAATTGTGCCAGATTATATGCTTTCCAAAATTCATAAAAGTGGTATCTTTCCGCCCTATTGTATCAAATTTAGGTACTGCCTCGTATCCATTAGCTAAATTTAGTTTCTAGATTTCCACTCTATAGACATAACATTTACACCATAAAAAATTCAATAGAGTTTGTAAAAAAGGTTAAAAACATTTCTCCTCGTAATTTATCATGGTTTCTTTTGATGTAAAATCATATTCACCAATGTCCCGTGGAGGGTGCATTAAGATGTCTAGAACCAGACTTCGCGATTTCATTTCTCTTGCATCGAAATTGATGAGCTAATTTCTCTCACTCAACTCTGTTTGAAACAAACATTTTGTTTTCCAAAAATAATATACAAGCAAACTGAGGGATTAGATTAGTCATGGAAGCCCCTCAGTCCCTCCTGGCTGATATCTACATGCATATTATGAATCCAAATTGTTAAACTTTAAACTTCCCGGCATGCTTCCGCTACGTAGACGATACTTTTACCTGAAGGTAAAAAGATGATTTAAATAGGTTCTTTCAACAATGAATTCTATTGATCCTGCTATTCGTCACTTTTGAACTTGAGACTGCAATTCTCTTCCGTTTCTCGACATTCTGGTCACACGTAACTATCAACTTCAGTACTACAGTTTACCGTAAACCTTCATCGGTTTGCCTTCCACCACACTTTAATCATGTCATCCGACTAAACAAAAGTAGTTCATTTTTTCCTATGTTGCCGTGCTCTTCAAGTTTGCTCCTCCAAACTAGCCCGTGATGAAGAACTAAATATTTAAAAGCAATAGCTATTGGCAGGGGCTTTTCACCCAACATTATTAATCAAGCAGTAAAAAAATTCTCATCTCAACACACTAAAAGCCACACTTTATGTAGGAGATTATAAAAATTCTGTTGTTATTCCCTTCTTTCCATCAATTAGCTATAAAGTTTGCATATTTTGCAGAAAATTTAACTTCGGGTTGTACTCTCCCATCAATAAAATTCCAACTCTATACTCAAGGACCCATCCGGATATGAATTCCTGGGGTATTATAGGATTCCTTGCCAGTGCGGTTAATTTACATTGGCCAACTAAGAGAAGTAAAATTTCGCGTCAAAGAACATGAGGTATGTTAGAAAAAGGAAACACAGAAGTCTTCTGTGCTCAACATTGTTGGTCCGAAATCACACTTCAATTTTTCTGCTGCCAATTATTCAAAAAACATCTTCCATTGGAGAACTGGATTTTCTAGAGCATTTCACATTCATAAAAATCTTTCTGTTCTAGTTAACGATCCTATTCCAATCCAAATTTGCCTCGGGTTTTTAGAGAAATTATGTTTAGTTCGGTTTCGCCAACAGATGGCGCCACTTGCTTATTCTTGTCCAGGTTCTTGTCTATTGACATTGTTTCCTGTCTTGTTCATTTGCGGTTTTGCAGCTGAAGATGATGGTTCGGTAAAACCATCGAAACTAGTCCTGTCAAAATTTTGTAAATTAACGCTGATTTTTGTTGTTTGACTTCTGAATTACTATCTCTTTAATTCTCTCTTCTATAAACAGGCTCCCTTTCTCTATAAACAGTATCTCTTCTTTTTACGTGTATGTGTAGCGGACGCGCACATTAACCGCGCATGCGTAAAAGTATTATGCGCATGTGTAAACGTATTATGCACATGCGTACTGTGTTTACACATGCGCATGAAGTTTGTAGCTTTGAGGTTCGAATTATACATCATTCCGGAGAATGGACGTCCGGATTAAAGACTTTGTACTGTATGTGACTTGTTTTTTAATATAACTGTAATTTATATATTTATTTGAAAATCTGTATTTTAGTAAGTTAATATGAAGAGTTTTCTTATATCTCTTGTATAATTTTAAATGATTGATGTTGTGGATAAAATATAAGAATCAAATCTCAAAAATTTGATAGGAAAGAAACAGTTACAACTTCTGCATTTTTGATGACAAAATTGAAAGAATATATACATTCTCACTTTTATTCAGAAAATTTTGTTTTTCTATTCCCCCAATGCCATATGGTGCCAAGTTACTGATATCCATACTTTGACGGAAACAGCTCACTGAACAACAGATTAATGAATTGACTAATGACAGAAAGGCTCTTGATAATATAATATTGCTATAAATTTTGTGTACATGTAAATAATTTTAATGAAATTAAAGTGTCAGATAGAGTAGACTGAAGGGTACCTTGTATTATTGCAAAGTTGTTGTTTCACTTATCATAACCTTCATTTATGGTAATCTGAGTAGTTGAATGCTCCGTAAATATACTTTTACCTAGAATTGGTTGCTCCTTTGACTTTTTAAGTGAAAATATATCGATGTGTACATGGACATAGTCAAGGGAGTGTGCAATTCTCTGATGTTTTTTAAGTGAAAATAGGTCAATGTGTACATGGATACCGAGTTTGTGCAATTCTTTGATTCGTTATTTTGTCTTTGTATAGCCACAATTGCTAAAATCGTCGCTACACAAAGCCAAAATAACAAGTCAAAGAATTGCACAAACTCAGTATCCATGTACCCGTAAATATACTCTTACCATAGTATCTTTCGTATAATGTTCCATTAAATGCAAGAAAGAGATGAAGCTCTGTCAGAAAAATAAGATTACAGAGATGGAAGGCTATTTAACATTGAGGTGAATGGCTATCTCGTTAAATTGTAGAGATATCGCCAAGTTGGGGGTGTCGCCAGATTTGACAAGAAATCGCCAAAGTCGCCAAGCTTAGTGACAATTTGGTGACATTTTGGTCATTTCTTCTATATCTATAATTGGTACTGTACTTGAATAACTGATCCCTTTATGTAACTATAACCGTACATCCAGCCCTTATATGTAACTTTAACCATATATGCTTTCCAGCAATTTCAAGAAATGGAAGGCACCAGAGATTTTTCCAGAGAGCATCAGTTCTCAGTTTTTAGTTCATAACTGACTTCAGAATATTGAGAGATCATGTGATGTTTGTAGTTTGGATATTCTTTGCATTGTGTTGTGTTTAATTGTCTGTTAAAGTTCTGTTTAGTTTGAAGTGGTAACTACTGAAATGATATAACTACTGATTGATACTGAGAAGAACTGTACATGTGTTTTTGTGAAAAGTTCTAGAACTAGAAATTTTTATGGAAAGCTGTTTTTTGGTAGAATAAATGTTATCAACCTATTATGGGTTCTGTGTGCATTCAATCTATTACAAACCTATATGCACACAACAATACTTGTATTTCTTCTACTTTATTGATGATTAAAACTCATACTACCTTCCATAAAATCTTCAGTGATTCACGTGGGATCCTGATATCAAAGAGTGCAATGCTGAGAATTTGATGTTTAGGCTGAAATAGGTAGATCCTGAAGATGAATTTGTTTCTACTGAGAGGAACTGTAAAGTTTTTGTAAAATTTTTTCAAGAAATAATTTCATAAAAAATAAAGAAATAATTTACTTTTGCCATGATATTGCTGGTTGTTATTAGAGTCACCTGTAATGTCAATTGGGGGGGGGTGCCTTTCATTAACAACATAGGATCTGCAAAGTTATGTTGTTTCCAGACAGTAAAGTTTTTCCTCATGTTCCATGGCCACTCAGTTCATATCCAAGAGGATTACATTATTGCTAAGATCTGTGTACATGTTTCAAAATGTGATGAATGTGAGAATATTGAGGACTTGAAAATGATTGTCATTTTTGGTGATTCTTAAGCTGGAGTCGAGCTGATGTTGAGATTTCAGGATTATTGACATTATTGGTAAGTTTTAAGTTGCAGTTTCAGAATGAGCAGTATTTTTTATGCATTTCTGACTTGATGTGCCTCTTGTTTCAAAGACAGAGGTTGGTTTTCCCCATGTGTAACGTGTATACGAGCCAGTTTCCTTTAGAAAGTCCTCGACGAAGGCATCCCTCCCTTTAAGCAGATAGCCCTCGAGGCTTTGCTATAATCACACACACACACACACACACACACAAAGACAGAGGTAACAAAGAAATTTTTCTTCTTATTTCTGCCTGTATAATAGCAATGGCACTAATTTACAAAATTTCTCTCAATAGTATCATATTCACCAAAAATGAAGCATTGTTCTTTCATAATTCACTTAAAGTTTCATAAATTGTTTCACACAAGACATCATGTAACAAGACAAGTAACTGCCACCGATGTTAAAATATGCAACATATGCAAAACTGAGGAACAAAATCGAAAATGAAATTAATTGAATTATCTTATAGACACTTGCATCGGTAGATCTTGAAAATTTACATCTACTGTTAAAAGGTGCCTGAATTTCCAAGTATTTTATTAGATATTTTTGAGTTTATTAAGTGGTTGAGTTTAATAGACGACAATTTGTTTATTACACATTGTGATGTAAGTTTTAAACTTTTTAAGCAAAATAATAACTAACAATTAATTCAATAATTAAAGCTAAAATAATAATTAAAAATTCATACTAAAATTAAACTGTTTAGGCAATTTTGAAAGTCATTTAAAAATTTTTTATTAAAATATTTGTATAATTATATTTTTATGACGTTTTGTCTTTTACAAACAACTATTCTATCTGTGTTTATTTCATTCTGTTCAACAACAGCTTTTCAGTTGTATTTTTTAAATTTTGTAAAGCTGCTGATTGCTTTGGAACTCTTCTGTTATCGGACTGGATTAAAAAATTTATGCATGTATGTGAGTAAATGTGTATATACACCTATGCATATGTATGTACATGTATATGAACACATCCATCCATCCATCCATACTGGCATATACACATACATTTCTGAATCTGATTTTGATAACAGAAGAGTACCATAGCATTTTTGATTGGCACCTTTCAGTTGAAGTGTTTTTCTTGGAATTTGTAGTGTTTTTCTAGATTTAATTGGTGTTGAAATATCATCACTTTTTCTAGTTTTTTTTTTTTTTTTTTTTTTTTTTTTTAACATTTTCTGTTTTTATGCACACTGCCTCAATATGTTTGCAAAATGACACATATTATAGAAATGAATCTATATAACTTCCCTCATCGATGTCTCAGACATTAGCTATAGCTTTCAATTCCTCTAAGGCATCTTCTACATTAAAACTACATTTTTAAAAATCCTAAGCTAAAGGCACAATGTTAGAAGTTGTATTTTCAGAAAGTGACATTGATTTTTTTTTAGAAAGAGATCAGAAGTGTGTGTGCTGCACAGTTATCTAATAGGTAAAATTAATTTCTTCAGTTTCAGTTCATTGTCATTCAAAAGAAAATCATTAAAAATAGGAATAGTCATCCATGAGTTCTTGTTGCTATGTTAAGTTAGAAGTAAATCCTCGACTCACTTCAAATATTGAGGTTTTCTGCTTTTGTCAATAACCAGTGCTGTCTTCTTTATTGTTGGGTCTATATTACACATTAATAACACAGTATCTCATTTCTTAGTTGGTGACATTGTGAATCATGTAAATAATGTAAGGTATTTGGAGGATATTATTAACCATAGGCTCACATGGACTTTCATATTTTAAGCACATCATGCGAATAGCCTGTAGTATCGCCAATCAACTTTCTATACTCCTCGTAAATTACTCTGGACTGTACCTGATGAGTATTTCTTCAAGCTGGACACTTAGCTGTGATGCTGCAAATTTTCCTGAAGTCCTTAACATGTTCTGTGCCAAAGCTGATATGATGCATCCATTCACACTCATCAAGATCCTGTTTGCATTTTGCGCTTTTAAATTATTTTCTTTTGTTTTATTATTTAAACATAAGTATAATAGATTACTTTTAGAAATTAATAAATTCATGTGAGCATACTCATATTGGCATATGAAATAACATTTTTGCTTCCTGTGTGTGCCAAATGCAAGATAACTTGAAACTAGATAAGCAATATGCACCCATTCTGTGCATTCATGCAAAACTCTGCATGTGTGATATGTTATTTCCCACTAGTCTTACAAGAATGACTGAATAAGAATTTGAGCAGTCCGTTTACAACATTTTCCAAGTGAATAAACCAAAAAACAAATGTTTTGCATTTTAAACATTTAGTTATTAGATCTATGTTTTGAGAAATAAATGATCCATTTTCAGTACGCTAAGTACATGTATGCCAAATACCCAAACACTGCAAGCATTTGCTACAGCAATACTCATACTCAGTGCTTTAGGTAAGGTGATCAATAATGAGATATTTCGTAGCTGGCAAGTAAACTCAGTTTACCAATTATGAGTATTCTCATAGATGGCAGCAAATATATTAATTACCAAATCATTCCAGAAGACAATTTCTTTCTATTTGCTACCAACATGCTTAAAAACCATCATTTTGTATTCTTGCTGGATTGCTAACTTTTACTTATTTTCTTGCGTGGGGTGACTTTTATTTCTCCTAATTAGTATCCTTACCATACAGGAGATGGTGGTCTCCCACTTCTTTTATATCACTTTCATTCCCGTTATCAGAGTTTCACCTTATTAAAATCATGTGGCTTAGAGGCTTCATTTTTTTAATCTAGCTTATTAAGGCTCCTTCTTGGCTCAAATAAGCAACTTCATAATCCATATCCATATAGGTCATTCCTTTTAGTCTCCTAAACCAGCATTGTTTTACTTTTAAATATTAATGTGTGTTCTGATAATGGTTCTGCAACGCAGTCCAGTGTTATCTGCATTATAAATTTCATGTGGCTTGTATTCATGTAGCAGTCCAAGTAAATCATCTTTTATCCAGTTATCAGCCACATTATGATCTGCCTCTTTCTTCTTACTTTACTTCTTCTTTTGTGATGAAAAATGTTGGATTTCTTTTTTTCCAACTTTTGAACCATCAGTCAGTTGATACAAAATTCTGTCTCAGCATTTAGCAAATTAGTGAAAAATGCCTTAGGAGTAGAATTACGCTTTAATTTTATAGCTTGAAACCATTCTAGAAAAGCAGTTCTCAATTTTCTTTCTTTCTTTTTCTTTTCCTTTTTGTTTTTGCACTTGAGACATTTACATTCTTTGTTAGTTCTTCATTAATTATATTTCTTGTTTAATTAAAGTTCACAAAGCTATTTGGAAAACTCTCAGTTTTAAATGTTTTTTTTTTTTCTTTGGATACAGTAAGAATATCAAAATCTTTTATTAATTTATCCTTTTCTGTCATGCCTAAATCTTTTTGCATGGCATTTTCGCATGCTACAGGTTAAGCATTGAATAAATTTTAAAAAATGCTTCTTTCAGTGATTCATTCAAATTTCAAAACTTACATTTTTATCCAGCAGAAGATTATCCTTTGTCAGTATTATTGATCTGCTGCTTCAAAATAACAAGCATGATCGGTGCTTTCTTTGCTTTTCATCCAGCCTGCAGTTATCACTTCCTTTTCATTCAAAGACTGTTAATATATAGTAATGCTAAGAAGTGTTTCTTAAACCTTTCTCATTTATAACTCTTTGTGAACATAATGTGTCTGTCCCAAAATTAAGAGTCTAGATGTGGAAACCTTAAAAAATGGGATGTAGATGTTGCTCTTCCATTTAATGGCTGGTATTTGAGAAAGAAACCTTATTCATTAACTGTGCTTCTAGATGATTGTTACTGTCAAGATTAAAATAAGGAAATTCTTTATTCTCCTTTGAAGTCCTGTGTGGACAAAGAACTCTGAAAACAGTGTTTTATGAACAGGGACTGGGAGAGCTGAATTAACCATTCAGTACAAAAAGCACATACTTAGGACATAAAAAAATGCTGCATTATGAGAAGGTGCTTAGGAATTCAGAGAAGGGAGCACCACAAAAATATCTTATTGTTATCTTACCATGAAATGTATGACACAGCTAAATGAACATCAGGAAAGAAGGAATGGGTAAAAAATGGCACAAATGTATGGGTGCACCAAAATTCTGTAAATGCTTAGTGCCTTTTAAAATCTTCATCTAGTCCTGGATTGGAGAGATAGGAAAATTTCAGACAAAGCCATTTTATTGGAGCATTATGTACCTGAATGATAAAGCCATGATCCACAATATGTTAAATAGATGAACTGCAAAAAGCTTTGGTAAGTACAAGTAGGATATTGTGGTATTAAAGACTTGGTCTTTTGCCAATCTGAGTTTTATAAGTGGCAGGGATGAGTTTATTAAACAGCAGTTTTCCTACTGATTAGTATGTACTATTTGTTTTAGTTCCTGGAACTATAAATTTTATAAGTAACTGAGTTTTATAATCCAGTGAGTTTAATAAGCAACAAGCACTGTAAATAGTATAAGAAAAACTTTTAAAAATATTAAGTTTCTGTTGAACTATACATGCAGTTGATTATAATCAAAACTTGACTGATATAGAATATTCAGTCAGAGAGAGAGAAAGACATTGTACATATAAAAATTTGCATTAAAAATGTCAATTATTTGCAAAATCAAAAACAGAAACCATTACAGGAAAAATTTTATAAAATTTTTTTTCTTAAATATTTTTATTATTATGAAATTTTATTTATAAGAATCTGCCTACTAAATTTTCTAAAAATTGAACTTTCAAAAAGCGGAAATGTCCTATGGTTGCTTACAAAAATGTAATTAAATGAACTGACATGTCAATACATGCACTTGTGGTAAAAACAAAACCAGATTCAAAGACTATAAAAAAGGGAGGGGGGGCAGAATTTTTGGACAGTTTCTTATCTTTAATTTTGGGGGGGGGTATTTAGTTTTCCTTTTTAAACTACTTTTTGTTTTGTTTTTATTATATTTTTAATGCAATTTTTTTATTTAATTATTTTTTATTTTGCAGTTAAACTTGAAGAAAATGAAGCCATTAGACCTAAGAACAGCGAATTTAATGCAATTATAGGAAACAAATACAGTTTAACAGAATTTGTACTTATGGAAATGAACATTCTTACATTTTTTGAATGGGACATTTCATATCCAACAGCTGCTCATTTTGCTGAATATTATGCTATCTATGCACTTAGTCCTTCAGATTCTCATAATGATGGGCTGTTACCAAGTTTTGAATATGTGCAGCAGTATGTGAAAAAATATATTGATTATTTCTTGGATGTAATTATTTTAGGTTAGTACAAGTTTTTAATTAGTTTAAATATTTAGCCTTTTCATTTATGCAGGATTTTTGTTTTTTAAATTGGCAGTGAGATTACCTAACCTTTTTGTATGTATTTCCCTTGGGATAAATATTACAATGCTTAAAATAATGCTTGGATTTTCACATTATGTGTATGTATGCAAACTTTGAAAAGCGTGTCCGTGGTTTTATTTCTTAACTGTTGAATCTATATTTCCAGTTAGAATTTCTTAAAATAAATTAGAGAATTTTATGAAAGCAGTCTTATTTTACTGTAGGTGAAAATATTCTTTAAAAATAAATTTTTATACAATCTGTTTATATTAAAAATTCCAGTTGGTAAAATATTTATTGCATTTTAATTAAAAGTAATTATATACTTAAAAATAGTATTCATGGTAATATGATAAATAATGAATTTTACCAGAATTAAAGGAGCAAAATGCTAATGAAGCATGATGTTCCACTCAAGATAGAATCTTGATTACCAGAATTGTAAGTTTTTTTTAATTTAATGTGCTATGTCTTAAACTGTATCTTTCCAGCTCTTCTACTTTCCTTATGAACTCTCAGGGATGCATGGAGTTATGAATAAGAATTTAAATTTAGAGAAAGATAAGAGTGTATTAACAAATCAGCCAATGATGCCTTAAGTCTCAATTTTCACATATTGATTGGATAGCTATATTGTTATTTTGGCGAGTTCTAGCTAAGTGTGGAGTTACATTTTACAAACTAAACCTTTTTTGAAGGTTATTGGATTTCTATGTGACACTTTACATTTTACAAACTAAACCTGTTTTGAAGGTTATTGGACTTCTATGTGACAGTTTGTTTTAATATATAGATACTTAAATTTATTGGTATATTCTTAGCTCACATGAAGAGGAATTTTTGTTCTTTTAACATTTTAGTTTATAAGGGCAAATAAACTCTTTAGCTGCTTTGATTATTGTTTCATTAAATTTACACTCTTGGATTATTAGTTAAGACTGGGCAGTAATTCATCTCCAGTCTAGGATTGTTAAAGGAGAGTCTAGTATATTGAAATTAGGTTTAGCCTTACACATCTAGCAGATTCTATTTTACAACTATGCTTTGGATTTGTTATTTTACAACTATGCTTTGGATGGAATTCTAATATTTGAATGAAAGTTAATAATTAGCATTGTTGGAGCAGCTAAAATCAGTGTATTTATTTTCTAATATAATAATTTTGCTTATGAAGATACAAAGCTTTATTTTTAACTAGCATGAAAGTTTATGAATATTTTGCTATTGAAAGTGTTTTTTCTTTTAGTGAACCATCTAAAACCATTATATTTTCTGTAGAACTTATCTTTACCCATAGTGTTACAATTATTTTTTTAATATTCTGGCATTATATTTCTTCAGAACTCTTCCCAAAATGCTGAAACTATTTTAATAAAATTCGATAGTAAATTTGGAGGTTGAAACTATTTTAATAAAATTATATAGCAAATTTGGAGGTAAAAATGCTTAACGAAAGAATCTGTAGTCTTTTTTACAAACATTTTGTGTATGATGTTTTACATCTTTTAGTTTGAATAAAATTATTTAGTTTTGAAACAGAAATTTCATTTTTTATTCTCTGTGAAAATTCACCTCTTAAAAATTTATAGTGAAGAAATTTAGGAAGCAATAACTGTTGTTTTGTATCAGTAAACTTAAACTATTCAAAAGATAGTTTAGCTCAGTAAAATATTTGGTATGTGTGTGTATGTATTAAAGAGTTTTTTAAAAATTGTTTTAAAAGAAATGTAGAGATATTAGACAACACAACTCTTTTATTCCAAAAAGATCCTTAAGCTTTAGTTAAGAAATATATATATATATATAATATATGTAGTATTTTAATTGCGTAGGAGGAACCTGTTACTTTTTATCATTTTTTGATGTTTTGTCATGGCTGAGAAGACAATAGTGGCTGAAGGTAAAAGCTGTGATGATGCAGTTAACACAACTGAGCTTGAAATATCACAATCTTTATTTTCATGCATATAAAACCATGTTAGTACATATTTATCCAATCATAATCAAATATGATAATTTTTATGTACATTGGTTTGTTAAAGGTATGACATAGGCATTTTAGCAAGGCAAAGCGGTTTTAGCAGAGCAGAAGTTAGGGAAAAGAAGATGACATAGTTAACTTGTGAGTGGTATTTATATCGAGATATGCAGAAAGTACTCTGAGCTATGATTGGTTAATTTTATTTTTAGTTACCTTTTTCAAGCAGTGTTATGTAACATGGGAAGATCTCAAATTTTGGAGAACAGAAAATCTAGAATGGTTATTTTGAGGTCACCAATCATTTCTTAAAGCAGCTATCATATTCTGTTATATCATATATATATATATATATAATTGAAAACTTTATTTTCATCATTTGCCTTTGTTTTTCAGATTATGCTTTTCATAAATTCAATCCGTCCCTTGTTGCTGCATCGTGCATTGCCTGTACAAGAAAATGCTTACTGTTGACACCTGCGTGGCCTTTGCTTTTACAGACTGTTACTAATTATAAGTATACAGAGCTGAAGAGTTGCATGGATCTCTTGTTGAGGTTTGTTCTAATAGTGGAACACTTCCTAAAATTTCTACTTTGTTTTTAAAATGAATATTTTATTATTATTATTATTATTAGCCCTTTTGATAATTTAATTTCATTTTATATAGATTAAGTCAAAATCTGCATATTAGAAGACCGTATTGTGTTATAAATTGAAGTAAATTTTTTCTTAAAAGTCATCTGTTTATTATAATTGGGGATCGGGTATTAAATCCGAAAACCTTCTGAATCTTGGGGGGGGGGGGATCTTAATTAGAAAAATTTTTTTTGGCCGTTTGAATCTTTTGAATCACAACCTGTTAAATGTTTTGACTGAAAACTCTGAAAAAGTGATTTTTATAAGTTTCTAATAGAGGCTTTCATGTGTATGTAAAAAAAGTAAGTGTAGCAGTTTCACTGGTAGCCAGGTCATCAGTATTTATCATGGAGGTCCTGAGTGCAACTCATTTCAGCATATGATTGAAAAAAAATTGTAAAATTTTCAAGTTGTCAATGCATCATGTTTTTTTTTTGGAAATTCTCAAAAACTAATACTGGAATGTCTCAGTTGTTCTGGACATTAACTTACTGCTGATAGGCTGTGGATGTTTCCAGCAACTCATGACATATGATTGCTGTATCATACAGATGGCTCAATTTAGCCACCAGTTGAACTAGTTAGTCGTGACTGTGTGATGTTATTTAGTTAATTGCTGTTGTTCCAAATGTCTGGACATCTGTAACTTAATGCATTCATTAGAAAGGGTCAGCATTCAGTGATCATTTAGCTACTCATCACTGAGAATATTACTCAGAGTGCACCACAAGACAATCAAATTATGCCCATAAGAAAGGGAAGCTCCATCCCAATTTTGATGGAGAACTTCCTAGGGAAAAGATCTGGAGTCTTCCACTGCCACAAAACCTGAAAGGACATTTAGGAACTCCTGACTCTCGAGAGCAGGCCCGTGGCAAGCCTAATCGGTGCCGTTGTGCAAATGTCTAGCAAGCGCCTTTATGTAGTAACGATATTAAAAAAAAAGAATGAATTAAAAAACCAGAAACAAAAATAAAAAAATAAAGTTTAACTTTTGTCTAAATATGCAAACATTTTGTGCTTTGTTAAAACCCACACTTAAACATATTTATTGAACATTTATAACATTTATGTTCTTAAAAGCCACCCAACCAGTATAATGGTTAGCATTGTTGACTGCCGTGCCGAAGGGCTCGGGTTCGAATCCGAGAGAAGACATGAATGTTTGTAAATGTATAATGTCCGTGCGACATGGGGGCATTCTAAATATGCGAGGTGAAAGTCCTCTCGAAAGCTTGATGGTAGAAGAAGAGGTGTGGGAGACGCTCGAACCTTTCTTCCCCCCCCGGACGGTCTCCATCGAAATTGGGGGCGAAACTAAGCTAATTTAGTTAAGGTGATGAAGGATGTTGCCAATGACAGGCGTATCTTGCACTCCTTGCCACGAGGAATTTTGTGGGCTTAGGCTGACTTATAGGTCAGACAAGTGAGCATTAGTCAACAGCAACATGTTATAAAAAAGTAACACTGCAAGCGAAGTGAAATAATATACTAAACGCACTGGATACCAAATATATTGCTGAACATTACTTATTATTAAAAATTCAAAACAAAGTAATATACATATCTAGCAAGTTTGCACTGAATAAATTGTGTTGTTCTCAGCGTAGTTTACGACAAGGTTCAAACTGTGATTACAGTTTGAACCTTGTCGCAAAAGGGCACAAAAAATGCTCTGTGGCTGATATCTAGAGATAGAACCAAAATTCTTTTCTCCACACTGCTATGTTGTTGACAATGATATAGCTTAGAGTTCCAACCGGCAATGCTATATTTCCTTTAAAAGTTTGCAAAACTACAGTTCATGCATAAGATCTATACTATCATTTTATCAATTAATGCTTTTGCAGTTTTTGACGTAAGTTAAGCTGATCTTGTAAATATATGCGAACAAAAATATGTGATGCCGATGCGTATGCAAGGGTACAGGGAGAGCCGTAGACGCGTTTGACAACATTTATCTTTTCTGTGATTTTTTTTGGTGATTGCTTCATTTTATATTTATTCTACATAAAAAACGTAAGAGCAGTTACATATTATGTTAAACTTGGGTTAGCATTTTAACTCACAAAAGTGTCGATTTGAGCATAATTACTCGAATTTGTTTTTTACATGAACCATTTGTTTATTAAACTAAAAATTATTATCTATCGAGAACAAAGGATTGACATGCTTACGGAGTACCACTGAATTTAAAATATATCTATTTGAGAAAAGTTCTCTTTAAAGTGAAATAAAAATATACAAGGTATTCTGAAATCAAAAATTGCCCATTTTCCGATTTTTAGCTGTACGGGCAACCGAAGGAAAATGCTTAGTTATTTCATTACGTCTTTCATACATACTTTAAATTTTATTTATTTGCTTTAATAAACAAAAGCCACCACCCTTTTGAATTATTTGGTATTGATCTAATAGTTCATACATTTTCCAAGTAATAGTTTAAGATATACTCACTTTTTCAGAAGTAAGATAATATTTCAAACAGTGACTTTTTGAGTGTTTTTAAGAAGTGTTTCACACAATAATTCTTTTAATAGTTATTTTCTACTTTTATTTTTACTTCCACTTTTTCGGTTTTCATTTTTCCCCATATGTCGGAAGAAGGGGAAAAAAAAAAAAAAAACTGTCTAAGAATGACTGAATATAATGAAGAAAAAGAAAGTGAGAGAAAGACTTAATAAATCAGAACTTTAAAATTTCTCAGTTTTTCCAAAACCCAAAGAAGAGGCTGACGCTACTAGCACTAGTTGTCCATCAACATCTCAGCTACCATTGTAATTACCAAAAGAACCTAATAATAAGAAAGAGTTAAAAAGTGTTTTTCACACAGGAATTATCTTTAACTTCAATGCTAGCCTATCGAAAAAAAAAACAGAGGAAATACTATTGAAATCTACAATTTCTGCAGTAAATACTCATTTGCCTGTGCCTAATGATTCTGGATTATGCCCAAGTCCCTTATTGCCATCCCAAGTTCAAGCCTTAATAGAAAATTGTTCTGTATGTTACCAAAACTTGGTTTCGAGTTTCAATTTCTCCAAAGACAAAAATAGACGTAATTTATTTTAGATGTACTTTTGTTGAACCTGGCCAAACAACGAAAGAGTTATCCGATCTCTTAGAACGATTACGAAAGAGTAAACCTGTTAATTCGGAATTTAAAATTTAATTAAAAACGAGACTAAGCATTGGCGTGATGTTATTGACAGAATTATCTATGCCATTCAGTTTTTAGCGAAATAAAACTTAGTCATCCGTGTTTCCAGTAACAAATTATTCGAAAGATATAATAATTATCTAAAGTGTATAGAAATGATCACAAAATTTGATACTACCAATGTCTGTATATATTAATAAAATTCAAACTAAAAAAATATGCTTCATTACCTTGGAAATAAAATTCAAAATAAAACAATAAGCTTATTAGGGGATAATATAAAAGCAAATTATTTTAAATATAAATAAATATAATACAAAGCAAATTATTTTAAACAAAGTCAAACAGGCAAAGAATTTTTCTATTTTACTTGATTGTATCCTTAATGCTAGCCATCAAGAGCAGATATTAATTCGTATGAGGTATCTTAATTTAGAGAATACAGACATGAGTATTGAAGAAAGGTTTTTAGTATTTTGTATTACAACAGATACGACAGGTGGAGGACGAACTACATTCTTATTAAAAATCTTAGAGGAAAATCATTTAGATATTTATAATTTATACGGCCAAGAATACGACAATGGTTAAAACATGAGAGGTAAACAGTTTTCGAGTAATTATGCTCAAATCATTGCTTTTCCAAATTAAAAAGTTAAACTAAGTTTAACATACTATGTAACTGCACTTACCTTTTTTTATGTAGAAAAACAAAAACAACAAGTAATCACAAAAAGGATAAATGTTGCACAAATTACTACTATTGCAACAGCAAAATAAGGATTAAGCAATTGGTCGAATGCGTCTACCCTTACATATACATCAACATCAAGTATTTCCACATTCAAATAAGACAGACGAGAACACCAAAAACGAACTCCTATCTGGTTATAACTTTCGGTCAAATAAAACAGTGTGCTAGGAGGAAGGGGCATTCAGACCTGGCAAAGTTGAGACTGCCTTAACACAGTTAAATACCCCAACCCCTAGAGACGATCCAAGAGGCCACAAGAGGTCGAGCTAAGACTGACAGGAATACTTAAAAACTCGCATTCCACATCCCCGTTCTCAAAGGATGGTAAAAACATCTGCCATCAACAAGGGCCTCAACCCCAGACAGCAAAACGAAGTCACTTAAATACTGTCAGAAAGACCAGGCCACCAATCCGGTTTGCTAACACTACATCATGCTATACAGATCTCTGCTTTAGGCGACCCTAGTGAAAAACCAAGCAAGGAAATGAATATGCAGTTTTGAGGCTCCAGTCGCCCACTGGAAACTTCAAGCAGTTTAAAGGCTAGCTGAATTCAGCAATTCCATCGACGGGGTTGTTTCGCCCCTGGCAACCATGAATATCTGACTATATAACTCCACCACAACCAACAGAACGGATTAGACAGTACCATGGCGAACTTAAAAAAAATCATTGCCGTGATGACTCCAGTCCCGTGGAGACTGATTTTAAACACTTGTGGCCGAGACTGCCTAGGTACAAATCCTAGGTTTGTACCTAGGTTCCCAGGTTTTACCTGAGTCAACCCCTGGAGAAGCATTCAAATAAGACAAGAATTTTCTTGTTCAGGCAGGCAGCGAGACGAACTGCTTCCTTTAATGATTGAACGGCGCCTTTTTGACTCGGCACCATCTGCATGAACTTGCACCTATTGTTGGCGCGGGCTTGTCCGAGAGGACTCCCAACTTGTGGTATTTCGAGTGAACCCATGCCACACAGCTACTAAGTACACTTACAAATATCTAAGGTTTCTGAAATTTGAAACTGAGCCCAACACTATGGCAGCCAGTAACATTAACCACTATATTGATCAGAGCAGAGTTTGTTAATATAATATTAACTGCTGTTGAATAAATTTTCAAATTATATTGAGAAAGTGACCCACTAGATTCAATAATTTTAATTAACTTCCATTTACTAAATTTCAATCTATAGGTATATTTTCTCAGTTTTTTTTATTAAGATCCTTTTTTCAAATTTTTTGCTTTAATTAAAAACTTATGAACTTATGAGGTATTTTTTTTTGGGAGGGGGCAGTGGGATAGCATGCTGTTACTGGTTTTCTTTGCTGCTAACTTATGACAATTTCTGTTAATCGTTTTGAAAGAGTAAGGACTTTGCAGTACCTAATTTTTGCATTAAATTAATATAAATATGAATTATGCCAATTTTAGTTTTGTGGAGTATGTGTATTTGAATGCTTGACTTTTGTCTAAAAATACACAGTTTAAATTATGGCTTGATATAAAATGCTATAAACAAAAGTTATTCAGCTGAATAAAACTGCATATGCTTGGTATTATTACAGCATTTTAAACTGAACTTATGAAATGTTGCTTTTAATAGATTGCCAGAAACTATGGACTTTTTTGTCTTGAATAAATCATTTAAGATACTTATATATTCCTCATTTGGGGGGGTATTAAAAATGTTTTGTCTAATAGTATAATGTAGGGCATTTACTGAAGAAATCAAAAAAAAAAAAAAAAAAAAAAAAATAATGAAGATAGTGATGTGAAAAATTTCATAGCATGCATTATCTTAGAAGCTTATCATTATCTATTTATTGGGCTGCTCGTCGACTAATAGCAAAAATGCCAAAGATAGGTGTAGGATTAAAAAAAAAAAAAAAAAAAGGGGGGGGGGGAAAAAAAGAAACGTTTCAGATTTTAAGTTACATCTAAAGGCGCGTTTTTTTAATGTTTTGTGTGTTACCTTTATTTATTAAATATCATGTTCTTCGCACTTAAACCATAAAATTCAGTTCAACATCAATGTCGCAAAATAATTTTAAAATGAGCACATCTTTAGAATTTCTGATACACAGTCTCGTGCGCCAGAGATAAAAATATTTTTTCTGTACAATCTTGCCATGGTTCACTTTGAAATCCTTGAGTTCGTTAATCAAAAATTCGTTGAAGAGTTACAAAATATGAAATTGATAATAAAACAAATTCCAAATTTAAAACTTGGGCTTCCAGATGCCGGAGTAGGATTATGTCATTCAAAATTCGATGGCTCTAGGTACCGTTGTTTTATCACAGTGCGAGAAAAATACGTACATTTATGCAGATTCTTCATTATTTAATTTCTTCAAATATAATACAGGGCGATAATATTTGGTGGCAACAGTTTGAAAAGTGATATGCAATTTATAGTGTTCTGACGCAAAATCACAAAACGAAAACAATTGTCCTTGAGGGACAAAGACTTCAGTGAGAGTCTGACTTCAGTGAGAGTATTCAAAAATTATATATCAGGAAGAGGTATTGAGAAATCAGTGAAAAAAATTTTTTTTTTCTTGAATTTTTTTTTCTTATGAATTCTGTGAGTGGAGAATTGGCAGTTATTTTCAAAATTAACATTCAGAAAGGGGAGTAAAGCATTTGACAAACATAAACTAGTTTTTTCTTGAAGATTAGAGTAAACATGTTCAAAATTGAATATTGTGCCAACTAAGGTATCAATTTGTGTTTGCTTTGCTGTGATTGGTTGGTTGTTATACCAAATTGCCATAAATTGAAAACATAGAAATTTTTGGTAAAATCCTTAAACCATTTTTTGTGATGTAGCAAGGTTAGATTGCATAGCAACAAAGCTCAGCTTTATACTTTTTATGACCAAAAAATTCATTGTGTGAATGGAGCCTTAAAATTGCAAAAGCCTTAAGACTTTTTTTAAAATAACATTCACAGATGTTTGATATTCGGCATAAGATATGTAATTAACTTCAGCGAACTTTACGTGGCAGCCACTTAAGAGGACTGTTTTTAAGGTGAATATAAAAAACGCTGATCTTAAATTTTACCTTTCTAAGGCAGTTATTTCTGCAGACTAATATTTTCTGGTTATGTATTTGATTATCTTAGAGAAGGTGTTTTTGTGGAAAAAGTTTTGAATAATATTCTCTTGATGTGGATGCAAGTAGTTATGAATGGGAATAAAATTTTCCTAACATATTTTGAAGAAATGATAGATTTTGATGATTTGATAGATGACTTAAAATTTTCTTTTACTATGAATCTAAGTATTTTTTTTTTTTTTTCCAGTGTGAATTTCATTACTAAGGCAATGTTATACATACATATCCGAATCTTAAATATGAGCAACACTTTTGCCTATGTAGAGAAACTACACACAAGTAGAGATGTGTATCACAGTTTCTTCATTTCTGCTATATTGAAAATAATAGCCTAGAGTCTTTTGAAATAATGAATCAAAGCAATCACAAGTGCTTTGCAGAAATGTTATTGGAATAGGTTATACGTAAAAGATGGATGATATGTGCTTAATGAATTCTTGGACATTCTCATTAGGGAATATGTCCATCTCAAACTGTGATCTAGTGCCATATCATGCTCATTCCCAAATTTTAGCACTTGAGAACAAATGGTTCCTCTCCTTTGCAGCATGGTTGTACTTGCTTGTTTCCAGCAAAGGATTGCAAATTGCATGTCATTCCTCATAATATATGTCTGTGGTGTTTTGAGGTCTTTCGAGCATACATGCTAGCTGATATCACAGATAGCTACGCTTTCCAGGAAATTCTTCACTCCTGTCATTCAATAAGGAGTGGTGATAGTCATTCATAAGAAGAAATGTTTTGTCAGTGACACCATGGAACTGGTAAATAGGATGCTCTATTTACCAGTTCCATGGTAAGCTATTTCCAACTGTGGTCCCATTATGGAGCTATTGTTTAACACTTGTCACTCAGTATGTTAATCATAATACCTTCTCACTTCATCATCCCATTATTATGATAACAATATCGTTTACATATACTTTATTGCTAATTTGCAGTATCCCTTTCTTGCCAGATTAATTGGTAAGTGGAATTCAGTTGCAAACTGTATTGTCTTCCTAGGAAAATATAATATCGGGCTCTTGCTTCGTCATAAAATTTCGGTGGTTCTGACATTTTTGCAAATATCATCTGTGCTGCTTTCAGGAAATGCTTACTGAAAGTCGAATGATAAGTAGCCAAAAGGAGACCTGTTGTTTGAATTATAGAGGATTTTAAACTACTCCTTTTTACAGTCCTTTATAATTCAAATGTCAAGTTCTCAGTTTGGCTATATATCATAATTTGTCTTCTGCAGTAGTGGTAATTTCTAAGTCGACTAGCCATGTGGCATGGATTGCATTTAGCTATTATCACAGGTAGATAGAAGCGGGCAGAATACTAGAATTTCACCATTGGTTATACAGTATAGTCCCACTGCATTAACTATGCAGATCCTCCCCAATTTTGAGGAAGAACATCCTGGGGGCAGTGTGAGCATCTGTTACCATCAGCCTCTTGAGGACTTTTGGCTTGCTGTGTATTTTGAATGCTTCCTTGCAGCACAGACACTATACACGTAGAAACATCCCATGTCTTTTCTGGAAATCAAACCTGGTTGTGTCGGTACAACAGTTATCTTCACTAACCACTATATTGGCTGGCTGGCTAGCTATTATCACAAAATATCAATCTTTGTTTAGAATTAGGGAAGGAAGGTGACCTCCCATGGTGCATTCTAATTATTTGAAATGCTGTCCAAAGCCTAAAGACAATACTTTGCACAATTCCAAAATCCTTTGCAACTTTGATGATTGTGAGGTCTTTAAAAAAAAAAAAAAAAAAAAAAAAAAAAAAAAAACTATTCTCTAATTTTTCTATATATGAAATTTTTGAGATGTCACTAAAATTTAAGGAAAATTTTATGTTTACAGATTTATTCTTCTGTGTTGAAAATTTCTGACTTGAAGTTCATCAGTAGGGTAATTTTATCAACCGCTTTTGAGTTATTCCAAATCTCAGATGCAAGAATCAAGTTTGCATACTCACTGGATTACTTTTATACATACAAATTAGTAACAAGTTGATTTATTAGACTCTGCATCAGTAACCTTGCATAATTTGTGTTTATCATTAAGATTTGGCTGCATGGGAATGATACATACTGCATCTTTATTATTTCCCAGCATTAAGGTGAACAATATCTATCTGAAGTTATATTCTGTTGTGCATCAGCATTATTTATTTAATTTATTAAGAATTTGTATAACATGCATAGAACTGGAGCTTTATCTTAAATTAATAAAAAGCTGGGTTTGATTTGAATGTATTCAATAAAATTGGAAGAGACAAAATCATGAATTTTATTTGAAGTGTCAGAAATTATGAGTTTTATGTGAAGCAGCAATTTATTATACTCAAATGTATATAATATAAAGGAATTGGCTTAAAATTGACTAAATTGTTAAAAATTGTTGGCTAAATTAGGGCTAACAGCTGGAATATTTGTAAACTTTTTGAAAGTGCTGCTTCCTTTTTTTTTTTTACTTCTCATTCCATAATTGAATGAGAAATGAATAATTAATTTAATAGTCATTGAATTGTAATGTTTTGAAAGCATTCCTATCAGCAAGGCGTAACTAGAAATTATAGAAGAGTTAAGTCTGATACTTTGTTTATAATCTGTTTCATTAAACAATCCTTTAGATACCATTGAATGCATAATAATTTTCATGTTATGTGGTAAAAATGTCTGAAATGATTTTTCTATGACTATTTGTTTATTTTCTTCTTTACAGGGCTCTTGATGCTGATGTGTTTTCAAATAAACAAAAAGAAAGTAAATGAGCAAATCATCAGTGAATCATTTTGTGTAAGAGTAATTTAATGTTTAAGTAATCTTAGATTTTTAATTAGTTGAATATTTTCAACTAATTAAAAATATTAGATTACTTTTGAAAGTGCCTAAGAAAATGATCTTGAAATGTTGTAAATAATAATAATAATTCTGTGATATTATGTGTTAAAATTTGTGATGTGCAAAGAACTAAGCTAATCATCATAAGTTGCTTCCTCTCCAAGGTACAGGAATTTCATTTTCACTATTGTGCCAAATCTGCACATTTTATTGTCATGTGCTTGTCATATCCTTTATTTTCCAAATATTATATACCTCAGTTTTAAAAGTTCCTATATTTATGATAAAATATTTATGTCTGATACTCTTTTTATGCACAAGTCAATGGTATATAATAAAGATTAAATATTTTAAAATTTCTGTCCAGTACTTTGTACATAAAACTGTGAACATGTTTGAAAACTATTTTATAAAATACGGTTGGCTAATACTTTGCCTGACTAATATAAATTTTTTGGTTTGTGCACAGAAGCCTAGTCTATTTTGTAAACTATGCTCAAGATATATTTTGTTCCAAAAAAATATATATTTTTGCATAAAGTGTACTTAAAATACGCTTTTTTTGATTAAGATAGTTTGAATTTGTTATCATTGAATCTCAAGAATTGTAACTTGATCTAGTATCTGCTTTTGAAGTATTACATTAAAGCATTTATTTTATTATAAATTTTTTACTTTTGTGTAAGTATGAAGTATATAAGTAGCAAGATTTATTTTTTATAGTTTATTATTACTTTTTATATTTGATTCCAGTTTCCTGAAGTTAAGCACATTCCCTAAATTAAATTTAGGTGATATTTTTTATAGACAAGTTTTTTTTAAACATTTCATTTATAATTAAATTTTTTAATGTTATTTATTTTATTCTTTCCATTTGTTATTTAAATCAAGGGGACCAAATCTTTCTGTATTATAATAATCAGCTCTGATTTAAATTCAGTGTCTTTAATTTTAAGTGCATGTGATAAAAGGCTGTTTTCAAGCCTTTTTTTTTTTTTTTTTTTAAATTTAGCATAACTCTAAATAATGATCAGATAAATACTGAATTGCATTACTTTCCTCCAATCGTGTATGCATGTTAGTTGTTGGCCACAGAATTGCTTAAGGATATTTTTAAAACTTTCTTCATTTATTCAGCTTCCTATATGGGAATCTGTATGGCATTATGACTGTTTTGGCATGATATTTTTATGAAATCAATATTAAAAAAACTGAGAAAATACTTTTTTCAAATGTTCAGAATCATAAATGTTACAGTATTTGTTGTGATTATATGACTTTTCTATGGTAATTAGTATTTTCAGCTGTTGAAATATTTTAACAAACGGCAATCTAGGAATTGAACTTTTCATGTTCATTATTAATGATTCAGGTATGTGCTTAGTCTATAAATTAAATAGTCATTGATACTGATAGTACAAATACATTTTAATATGAGATGATGGGGATAATTTTCTTCATTGTTTGTTCTCAAGCTGAGCATTTTTTGAATTATTCATTTTGAAATTTAATTAGAAATTATCAGTCGTGTGATGAGCAGAAATGCATTTTATGAATGGAAATTATTTTTGTTATTTCTACTTACAAGACACATTTATGTGTTATCTGCACTAAAGCAAACATTCCATTTAGTTGCACTACTGTGATTGCTGTATATTTAATGTTAAGTAGATATGGTTATATCAACAGAATCATAAATCGTTCATTGCTGTAGTATATTTATATGTTTGTTTACATATTATGTATAAGAAAAGAGTATGTGATATTGGAATTAATCTTTTCCATGCATCTAATGAGATTTGTTGAATAAAATTTATATTCAAAATGTGTGTCTTTTTCCTTTATTTGCCAGAATCGACAGCAGTAAATGTAGTTTCAATTTTACCTTTTTTATGATGAATAATATATTTAAAGAAGGCAAAAATTCTGTTGAGAAATACAGGTTTTTGAGTATCGAAAGATATTTTTACATGTTTATAATTTGTCGAATTTCAGCTTTTAGTGAAATATTCAGCATACTTTTTTGAGTGTACTTTTTAATATACTTTTGTTGAGCACACTTTGTAGTAAGTACACTTTGTTGTTAAGTGATATGTAGTACTAGTATATATGAAAACCTTTGCAGTGAACACAGTAAAATAATTTCAAAGTCTATGATTATTGATCATTTTATCTTGAGAACCAGATGAATCATGAAGAAGATATCTTTCATCCAGAAAAGATACACGTTTTGAATACTCAGACACAAATCTTCTCTGTGACTTAAAAGCTTTAATAATCATAACATCACAATAACAACAGAAAAAAAAAAATCGTCTGCAGGTGAATAATTAAAGTTGTGAAACTTTTAATATTATTTTGGTATCAGCATTCTGCTAATGTGTACACCAGTGTCTAAGTGGATAAGATTACTGATTATTGGTATACAAGTCTGACTTCTCATAGACAGGTTAGCTGCATGTATGAGCTAGTTTCGCTTGCAAAGTTTGCACAAAAGCATCTTTCCTAAGCCAGACAGCTCTCTTGTGCTGCACCACGATATTTATTATTAATTAATAAGAATCTATATATATGTCTGTTCCTCACATTATGGAAGAAACGTGGCACTTGGAGCCACCAAATTTTGAATACATTTAGTCGGGGATGTATCCTGAATTTCCGTAAACTTTTTGAAAATTGCTGTTGAACACAAAATATTTTGAAAATTCTATTAATAAATGAAAATTAGAATTACATGTATTTGAAAGTTAAATATAGTATTTGCATATTAATATGTTCTTGAACATTGCATAATATGAAAAATAATTAAGTGCATATATTCCTCATATTTGAGGTCAGAAATGGAAAATTTTTAGGCAAAGTTTGCTGACATTTTGCATCATAATTCAGTTATCTTTCATTTCTGTGGATCATACTATAATATATTTTCAAGTGTAATCTGCAAATTAATTATATTAATTATTGATAAAATTTTATATTAATCATTGATAAAATTTGAACAATGTTAGTTAATGTTAATGGTAGAAAAATCAGCTGCTGAATGTTATCAATTTCACTGATCATGTTAGGAATACTGTTGGTATTCACAAATATGGTATAAATTTATGTACAAGTTTATTGCTATATACAGTTTGAGTATGTTTTGTGTTTTGAACATTTTTTATACACATCTTCTACATTTCATTTTTAAGTAAATTTTATTTTTTAGAAGAGATCAAAATCTAACTGTCGGTAGAATTAAGCCTCTTAAAAATGTTTTTTCACTTTCAGTCATGCTTCAAATAAAAAAAAAATGCTTTATTTAATAATTCAGGTTCATTATCACAGTGGTTTCAAACTGAAATAGTGTGCGGGCCAAAAAATAAAATAAAAATAAAAATTCAAATTTATACTTTCTGCTTGAAATCTAGAAGTTGATATGTGCAAGAAATTTCATTCTCTTGGTCACAGTTTGTAATTATTTACTGCAAAATATTAAGATTTTTCAGACTGACATATATTCAGATAATTGCAATACATTAAGTTACTACTAAGTAACATACTTTTAACTTGGACTAAAAGGTAATATACACAAATTTTCCAAGAGGGAACTTGAGAATAATTAAGTCTTATTCTCTTTCTTTTATTTATTGCATTTTCTATGATGTATACAGAAAAAATATTTGTATGTAAATAATTATAAACTTCTTTGGTTCTTATTATACCTAACAGATATATTCCTTCATGGCATTTTGATTTTCATAAAGTTTGTAATTTTGGAAGAAAATTACTAAAACAAATTTTCATCATAAGTTTTAAATACTCATCAGCAATCTGGTTCTTTTTGTAGATTTATTAATTTTGAACTATGGAGGGGGGAAGGGAGGAACTGTTCAAATGTAAATATACTCCTAAAACAAGGCGATTAAGAATATTTATCTTTCGACCAATATTAATGAAAGTAATTTGGATTCCTCCTTTTTGGCTGAAAAATGTAAAGTGTATAATCCTGCGGTGGAATCCAAAAAATGGGGTAAAGACTGTGTGTTATTAAAAACGTCGTATCTATGTTGCTAATAGCCGTTAATCATTCCAGCGTGGTGTGTTGATTTAAAGGCATGGAAACCTACGCTGGAATATAGCTGTGAAATACTAGATTGTAACAGGAATCTAGCACGGCTTCTCGATAATTTATTATGCCCTTAAGTACCTGTATAAGTAAATGAACTGTCAAAAAGACTCGATTCCTGTTTTCTTTCATGCATTCATCTGTTATTCATGATATGGTTTTACTAATGTGTCATAATCTGACATGATATGTTCATCTGTTTTGTTAAACTCAAGGAAAGCAAAGACTTTTATGTTTTCAACTTACAGCAAGTGTACTTACTCCTTTGGTAGAAAACCACACTTTTACAAAATTACCATATCACACTCAAGAACCTCAAAAATCAGAACAGCAATGAGCGTCATTTCTAAATTTTTTTCTGGAGAGTTGCGTTCATTTTTGATACTGAAAATAATGAAATCCATGATTTGTGACTCGCTCACTTGGGCTTCAAAATGCACCCGGTTGCAGTGGTGCAGAGATCTTGTGGTTGGAAGTATCATGGGTTGCAGCCAAGTCTACAGATTTGCTGATAGATAAATCCACTTAACAAAGTGAGTAAAGCCATCGTGGTTCTTTTTACTGATGAATTTCGTTTAAGCCTTACAATCTGGAAGGAGAAAAACACATGCAATAAACCTGAAAATATTAGTAAAAGGCATCGGTATATAGGTGGTGGAATCATGGTATGGACGAGCATCTTACGTGCAACTATTAACGTTGGGGGGGGAATAAAAACGTGAGGTTCTTGATCCTTATGTCAAGTTGGTTGCAATGGGTAATAACTTTTTCTTAAGGACGATATTGCCCTCTCTCATCCCGTTACGCAAATGACCGATTAACTTGAGGAAGTAACAAGTAGATGGAATTATATTCTCTGGATTTCAATTCTATGCAACATACGTAGCATGCACTTTTTTTAGAATGCCCAATTACGTTATTGCAGTCACTACTTAGCTCTCTCAATTTCTTCTGGAGAATATTCATTGTAAATACCTATTGTTGCCCCAGGAATTCTTGGACAACCTAATATACAGTGTCAAGTTGAATATCTATCTAAATATTATCTTTGTTTGATGTAATTTAGTAAATACCGAATGGTAACAGTTGTGAGCTCTTTACATTTAAGTATTGAACTTGTTCTTTTTATTAGAAAAATGAGAAAAATGGCTTTGAGTTGCTTTTCATATGTCTATGAGAATTAATGAGCTTTACGCCATTTGTATTTTGAGTGCTGTTTGAGAAGTCAAAGCTAAAGTTGACACTTATTAGATTTGTAAAAATAAACTGTTTGTGTTGTCACAAGATGTTTCATTGAGTAATTTATTATACTCATTTCCATCACTAATTCTGACGGCAAAACGAAATTCACAGCATGGAAAATCAGTGAACTTGCATTTCCATCACGCGCGACCAACCATTTTATTAATTTATCATATGTGCCTGTAAAAACTGTGACATAAACTTTTGCCTGCTCCGTATTATATCATATTTCTTATGCTTTAATTTAATTTTTTTTGCAGAAATACCTAGTTCTATATCAAGCATGATAAAATGAAAATCTTGTGGAATTTCACGATTTTAGCTGCAAAATCATTCAAATTACAGTGTCTCACAAAAGTGATGGGACACTGTGCTTTACAAAAGGAAATTGTAGTAAAATAAATTAAAAAAAAACATGTAAAAAAAATTTTTTGTGTATTTCATAACTTAAATTTAGTAACTTATTACATAACATACATTTTCTCAAATATTAAAATATTAATTTAATAAAAATACAGTGTTTAGAACGGAGCAAAAAAATTGCTCACATAAGTGATGGGACACTTACTTTTCCGTCAAATATTTATCCAAAAATTTTACTTTTTAAAAGGTTTTAATATTTCTTGGATTTCCTTTTACTTTAAAAACATGATTTAATCTTCTTGGGATGGATTCGACTAATTTTTCGTGATTTCTGAGTGATTTTACACCATTCTTCTTGGAAGCATCAATTTAATTGTTGTTTAAAGAAATGGTTGTTTGCGAATTCTTGATTCCAATTTCTTGCCAAATATTTCTCTATGGTGATTTAAGTCTGGAGATTGTGGTGGTGTTTTTATTATTTCCAGGAGAGTTATACAGCAGCCAGAGAGTCTAACGTTCAAAGCAGTGTGCTTGGAGTCATTGCCCTGGTAGAATTTAAAATCGTTACGATGGTTCAATTTTCGTGCCGAAGATTTCAAATTTTGATTTAAAATGTTCAACATACTTGTGCCGATCCATTATACTGTCAATAATAAAAACAAGACCAACACCTAGCGGACGACATACACCCCCATACCATAACTCCTCCTCCACCATGTGTTTTACTGTTGGCACCAAGTTCTGTTTGCGAATTCTTCCTTGGATTTTCTCCACACCAAGATTCTACCGTCAGAACCAAATATATTAAATTTACTCTCATCAGCAAATATAACTTCATTCCAGTATCAGAATTCCTATTTATGTTGGATTTTGCGAAAGCCAGTCTGAGTTGTCTATTCTTTTCAACTCAACGAAGAATTTTTTCCTGGCTGCTCTACCGTGATATCCAGCAGATATCTAATTACTCTTATAATAGTCTCAGGATTAACAATTACTCCATATAATGCTTGTAAATCAGACAGCAACTTTAGGAGCACTCATTCTTGGATTTTTTTTTTTAATATTTCCGAATGATAATTCGCTTTATTCCTTTGGATAGCTTTGATCGGTCGGCGA